GCGCGGCAGTCGCACGCGCGGCGGCCACGCGCGCGGCCGCCGCGCGCGCGGCGGTGCCCGCGGGGGAGGTCGCGCATAAGACGCATGCGCGGCTCAGCGCCGTCGCGGTGGAGTTCGCTAATGAAGTTCAGAGCGGCAGCGGCGGCGGCGGCTGCGAGGGGGGGCAGGTGGTGGTGCTGCCCTCTGACCTCTCCGAGGTGCAAAAGGGGTACCTCCATTGGTTTATCCAGGCGGTACCCCTCTGCCATGCCTTAAAGGTGGGCGCCGCCGCCGCTCGAAGACAGCTCGCGGCGGCCCGCCCGGACCGCCGCCCTTGCTTGCGCATCCCGGCCCCTTCGGCCCGCCGGCCCGCACCCTGAGCGCCACTTGGCCCTGCTGACCCCTCTCCTTCCGCCGCCCACCCGCCCCTCCAGTGGACAGATTGTTCTGCCACGCGCTACCCTCACGACCCAGTGCGGGATATGCTGCAGCCGCCCCCAGAAGAGGGCAACCGCCACCCCCGCCCGACCACAAGCCTGGCCAACGTGCAAGCTTGGAACCAGGTAGGAGCCGCGCGAGCGCATGCCCTTAAGATGTGGGACCGTTACACGCCCCCATACGTGCTTGGCTGCTTCTCGAGCCATCCAGGCTCATGAACTTGATTGAACTCAAAGCCAGGACGAGTGTGATCAGATGCATTGCTGCGTCACCAACTGCAAAGCAAGTGTACTTTCGTTATATGGCAGCTGCCTGCCTTTGGCGGCAACAAGCAATACCTGGATGGGGGCCGCCTGCGCGCTGCGGGGCAGCCTGCCGGCACGTGTTGGGCGAGCGCAAGCACCCTTCGAGGTTGGCGGCTGTACGCCCGCGGGCCACTTGCATTGGGGCGCGAGCGCTGCCTCACTCCCGCTCCGTCGCGCCCCGCCCTCACCCCGGCCCCGGGCCCCCACAACCCCGCCCGCCCGGCAGGCCGCCAAGGTGTCCGCCGTCATCCGGGGCCACGAGCTGCTGGACCCCTCAGGGATTTATGAGTACCCTGGCGGGTCCATGTGGGCAGTGCATTCGTCAGCGTTTTTCTCCACGACGTGGGGGGCGGACGCAGCCGCCGTCCGCTTCGAGATGCCCCGCGCCCGCGAGCCGCTCGTTCTGCAGCACCTGACCGCAGTGCGGTTCACCGACGGCTGGGCCGCAGACGCGGCGCTCGAGCTGCGGCGGGCCTGGCGCGTGGGCGGTGCGGCGGGCGCGGCGGTGGGCGGGGCGGCAGCAGGCGGCGGGGTGGCAGCAGGCAGGGCAGATGTGGAGGTAACCAGTGGGTCAGAGCAGGAGCCGGCCGCGCTGCTCGCGGGGCTCGACGCGGCCTGCGCCGCCACCGCAGGCGGCGCCGGCGACGACGGCGGCGCGCTACTGCGTGCGCTGTACGCCGCGGTGGTGCAGCCGCGGCTGCGGCGGCTGGCCGGGAGGCCCCGCGGCGCACAGCTTGCGCCCGGGGTCCTGAATGTCCCAGCGAGCGTCGCCAGCGTGCTGCGCGGCGCGCTGCAGCGGCTGGCCTCCGTCTGCCCCGGCAGCGCCTTCGCCGCGCGCCTGGCGCAGCTCGGCGCGCCGCTGCTTCGACCGGATGGGCGGCTCGAGGCGCGGCTGCAGCCGCTGCTGCTGGACACGCTGTGCGAGCTGCGGCAGGGGCTGGGCGCAGCGGAGGCGCTGCGGCGGGCGGCGGAGGCGCAGGGCGTGGGCGAGGCACCGGCTGCGCAGCATGAGAGGCAGCAGCTCGCCGTGGCGCTGCACACGCTGGCATACCTGGTGGAAAATGGGCCAGCCTGCTGGCTTCAGACCCAGTGGCGGGCGCATGTTGCGGAGCAGCGGCAGCAGCAGCGGCAGCAGCAGCAGCAGCAGGTGATGCAGCAGCGGCAGAGGCAGCAGCCGCCGCAGCAGCAGATGCAGATGCAGCAGCACCGGCACCGGCAGCAGTATACGCGGGCGCAGCAAGCCGCCGCAACGGACAGGCAGGCAGTGCTGCCCGTCTCGCCAGTGCAGGCACCCCCGCCCCCGCGCGACTACCGGTACCAGCCAGGTGAAGTGCCCCTCAAGCTGCAGCACGTTGCGGCACTAGCCCCTGTGGCGCCGGACAGTGACAGTGATACCGGCGGCAGGGAAGCCACTGCTGCGTCATCACAGGGACTGTGCAGGGCAGCCTCACCGGTTCTCGCAGCTGCCACCACCGGCGGCGCGCTTGCCACCCCCGCGAAGCGACCGCGGCTCTTTGGCATCAAAGGGCAGGAGAGGGCAGCCGCGATGGCATGTTTGGAGCAGCAGAAGCAGCATCAGCAGCATCAGCAGCAGCATCAGCAGCAGCAGCAGCAGCAGCAGCAGCAGCAGCAGCAGCTGCTGCAGCAGCAGCAGCAGGAGGAGGGGAATCAGGGGCCGGCACCTCTCGTTGCGGCTATGCCTGTCAATGGCAGCTGCGCTTCGACCGTCCAGCCTGCCGCCCCTGCCGCTCCCGCTGCTGCCGTAGCCGCCGCGAGCCACAGCGCAAGCACTCGTGACGCGCACGCTGGGGCCGTATGCCCAGCTGCGGGAGCGCCGGCGGGCATCGCGCATCTGAAATGGCCTGTTGCAGCTTCGGCGACCGTGGCCAACCCCATGGGCTGGCCCCAGAGCTCGGGAGTCGCTGACGGCGAAGCGGCACCCACGGCGGCCTTCAGCAGCCAGCCGTGCACGGCTGCAGCCGGCAGCAGCTTGGGCAGCGGCGGCATGACGCCGCTGGCGGACGTGGCAGCGGCGCAGCAGACGGCGCAGGCGGCGCTGCAGTCGGGCGGCTGCCTGGCTGGTGCCGTTGCCACCGCTGCAAGCGACGACCTGGCTCAATGGCAGGGCTTGTGCTCAGGCGCGCTGGCCGGGCTCGTGGGCTCCCACGCGCCAGCACCCGCGCAGGCGCGGGCGAGCTTCAATGTGGGCTGGGATGCAGCGGGGAGCGCGCTCGCCGGCGTGAAGGCGGCGGCTGCGAAGAAGCCGCCCCATGGAGAAGCTGCCCCCGTCAGCAGCCTGTTTGGGGCCGCTCGGGCCAGCCTCAGCGAAGGGCCTGGCGGCCTGAGGGCGCTCTCAAAGAGTCCAGCGGCCGCAGCCAAGCCAGACCCTCTCAAGACGGTCGACCCGGCCTCGCTGCCTATTGGGGTTGCGCCGCCTGACCAGCTTGCGGCGCAGCCGAGGCGCGAAATGAGTGGCGGCCGCGGCAGCCGCAGCGACGGCAGCCCCGCGGGAGAGGCGCCGGAGCAACAGGAAGGGACTGCGGCCCTTGATGGCGGCCGCAATGGCGGCAAGAGCGGCGGGAGGAGGACCCATGGGAGCGGAGGCGAGGCCATAACTGACAAGGGCTGCGAATTCGAAGCCTCAAGCGAGGAGGAGAAGTATCAGCGCCGCTGCAGCTGGATGGGGGACAGAGGGGTTCCCCTCACGGCGCCGACGTCGAGCGACGGTCACAGGGGGCGGCAGCACCATCACAGCCGCAGCGAGCATGGCAGGCGGGGCGGCCCAAGAGGGTACGGCCGCAGCCGCAGCCGCAGTCCCAGCCGCAGTCGGAGCCGGAGCCGCAGTCGCAGCCGCAGCCGTACCGATCGCGGCGGCGCACGCTATCGCCGCCACAGCCCCAGGCAGGACAGGGGCCTCCGCTGCAGCCGGGAGGATGAGCGCGAGCAAGGCGACGAGGGCGGCAGCAGGGCGAACCAGAGCGGTTGGGACAGGTACGGCGGGGCGTCACGCGGCCCGCAGACACGTGGCATGGGCAGCGGCGGCGGGACGAGCAACAGCGGCAGAGTTCGCACGCCTGCCAGTGGCCAGCACCGCGCCAGAAGCTGCGGCTACACGGGCGCGGTTGGTGGCAGTGCCTTCGAGCACCGCTGGCTGCACTGCCCAGAAGCGGTTGACAAGGGGATAGACGAGGAGGATAATGAGGGGGAGCTTGGGGGTGGCGGCAAAGGGCGGCGTGACGGCAGCGGCAGTTATGGCGGCATCCAGGGGGAGTCGGACGACGACGATGACTGGCGCGGCGGCGACTTCGGCGATGGGCGGCGCCAACCGGTGCGGCGCCGGCAACAGCAGCAGCAGCAGCAGGAGCAGCAGCAGCAACAGCAACAGCAGCAGCAGCAGCAACAGCAGCAGCAGCAGCAGCAGCAGGAGCAGCGTGAGCAGCTGCAGCAGAAGGAGGAGGACAAATTGATGCAGGAGCGGCAGCCCGTGGGCGTGCAACCCCTCGCCACAGAGCCGCCAGGCGCGGCCGGCGGCGTGCCAGCGTGGATGCGCACTGATGGCTCTATCCCAGCAGTGCGCGCCCTCCTGCATGATGCTGTCAGCGGCAGAGGTCCTGTGTCGACAGAGGCGGCAGCGGACCTACAGCTCCAACTGAACAACGCCCCAAAGCGCGTTGTGCTGCGCGGTGTGGAGCAGGCGGCCGAGCTGTATGGCTCCAACACTGTGCAATTTGAGCAGGGCAACGTAAGGCAACGCTCGGCGGTGTGCGTGGATAGGATGGGCTCCAAGGTGGTGGTGCGGGTGCGGAAGAACTCAGCATTGGAGCTGTGGAGCTTCGTGCTAGAATTCAGGCAGCAGGTGAGCCTGCCTTATTTGATGGTGGGGTTTTTTTGGATCCCCTTGGGGCGTGCATCTTTCTTGCAAGTGCGCGCGATTTACATCACGCCAAAGTACATGTACACAACTATGTTTATAGACAATCCAGCACCTATTTGAAAGGTCGGCATCCTTGCGGCACCCTTCCAAACCACACGCACAACCCAGGAGCGTCCCATGCGCATCGAGGCAGTATGCGCGGTTAAGGACGATGCCAAGCGGCTGGCCTGCTACCTGCTCCTTGTCCACCTGTGCGGAATGGTCATGATACGCAACTCATGTCTGCGGGAGTACGCCCCACCGCCGCAGCTGGCAAAGCACGAGCTGAGCGCAGAGCTCAGCAACCTGGCACATGCGTTCCGCGCGGCGCACCTGGCGCAGCCGCTGCCCCCGCCGCCGCCGCCGCTGCCACAGCGGGACGTGCACCAGCAGCTGCAGGAGCAGCCACAAGAACAGCAGCGGGAGGCGCAGCGGCAGGAGGAGGAGCAGCAGCAGCAGCAGCAGCAGCAGCAGCAGCAGCAGCAGCAGCAGCAGCAGCAGCAGCAGCAGCAGCAGCAGCAGCAGATGATGGACACGGAGGGCATGGAGATCGACTCTGTGGTTTGCCAGGCTCGCTATGGTTGACTGGAAGGGGTTGTTGGGACACGACGGACAGTATGCTGCACGGTCTGGTTTGGCAAGACAGGGTGTGATTCCAGCAAATGGCGTTGCTTTTTTTTTGAGCACATTGGGATCGTATTTGACAAAGTGGCAAGTAACGCAGAGCACTTGAGGCTGGTTGGCGACAAGGAAGTCAATATCCCATGGGCCAAGTCACTTTCAGCCAAGCCCGCCGTTGCGGCCCAAGCGGACGCACCTGCATCACGTAGACAGTGCTTTTCAATGCAGGACGATTGGTCGTTGCCACTGGAATTACGAAAGCTGCTGCAGTCAGCGGGTACTGTACGCCTGCAACAGCAGGTCAGCAGTCAGCATCGCAGTGTCTTTTTATTTACGCTGGCTCGTCCCAGGCACTTCATTCCAATAATTGTTCAAAATATCATCATGTCTTTCATAACGTCCGCAACTGGCCCTAACAACGCTGAGCTTAGAAGACTTTGCTGTGCAGAAAAAAACATCTGCGTCCGGAGCCATCCCACACTACTTAAAGTCATCTTGTGATAGGGAAATTCTCTTCTACAGCGTTATTATGCCCGTCAGCGGCGAAAGGCATTTTTGCTGCGATAGGGCTTCGTGGTCAAGCATCCTTATATGACAGACAGAATCGCTCTGATACGTTGGTTGATAGTCTGCAGCAGCGAGTGGTGCTCATGTGCCGCATGGGCGACGCCAGGGCGACGCTGCCTGGTGCTGCTGCTGCTCCTGGAGCTGCTACAGGAGCCCAAGCCGGTTTGCATTTGTGAGCATGTTCGGGCTTTCACAGGCAGCCACCTGCAGCCCCATCAGGCAAGGATGACAAGAAACAATCAATCCCTAGCCTTTACCAAGCTTCCGGCGCGCACGCTCCCCCACACACTCCCAGGCTTCAACCCAGAAGTTGCCACTGGACGCAGCCCATCCCAGTCCAATTC